AATTGGATAATGGTTTTCTATACTTTCTGGGGAACGAAGCTATGCTATTGGTTGAAACAGAATTGTATTTTAAAGTTCAGCCAATGAAAAGCATTCTTGCGAGGAGCTGCGACATTACCCGTTGATATGAGAGGCGGCACGGGATATTTTTCACCCTGCGTTTACATGATTGTTTTTCAAAGGGGATGTTTTCCAGGGACGGGTATTTTCCCCGGGAATACCATATTGTTCAGTGACATTGACCATATAATGCAATGTCAGCGTAATTTTGTCACGGTCAAGCGAGATCGAGCGTTTATATGACAAAAAACGTCTCGCTTAAACCGGTATCTTGCTTGCTCAAAGCGGGATTCTACATCTCCGGAACAGGACAAAAAACATCCCGGTTTCATATAAGCACGGCACGAAAGATATTATACAAACATGTAATTATATACAAGGCGATATCCCGGTCATATTCTCGTCCTGCGCACGCATTGAAAACTGTATTTCCACGAATTTGAAATAATGTATTGTTTACGATTGCCATTAAAAGAAAATAGTATACCGTACTGTCCAGGTCAATTAAACCTCGGTCTAAGTGCGGTTGAACGGTGGTAAAATTGGCAGAATAGCTAAAATGCAAAAAGTTTCTAAATTGAGAGGGTTAAGATAAATCTCTGATCTGTTAGAAAAAGCAATATTCTAATATAGTATGATACAGAGGAATATAGTTTTTGTAGAATGGTATTACGATAAAAGCTGGTTTAAATACTTTATTGTTTTACTTTTAAAGTTAAACAAGTATAAATTATACAACTTTCAAAACACACAAACACACCGCCATATTGTTCACATCAATTACACGTGTTTGTCCTTTTTGGCGGTTACTAGAAAACAGTAAAAAATGTCAACGACGTTTTTGTCCGCAATCGCTGGCACAGTTCCATTGATAGAAAGCCATCATTCCTCGGAGAGGATGTCTGGCCGCGTCACCGCACCAATGAACCAGCAGTAACTTCATGTTCCTAACAATTAATTATTGTTTGATTCACGCACACCCCCTCGGTCCCCTACTCTCCCCCAGGACTTTCACTGAGTGAAATTTTATGTAATTTTTGCACATTTATATGGCCATTACAATTTTATTCCGTATGACGTAGGAAATTCTCAAACACTACTGACAGGGAAACGATTGTCTTAATACTGTGCGAAAGTCGATCGGCTCTTGGGATGGAAAATGGTAATATCCTTGATGAACAAATTATTCTATTGTTTCTCCTGTGTTGTCAGTTCTCTCGAAATGATGAATATATATACTTTCGTGCAAAATAATTGTAAAATTGTAAAATTCTAAAGCCAACTTGATAAAATTTTCATAGTTGACTTTAAAGACATGCATTCGAAAGTGGTGAACCTAAAAGATATGTACTCCCAAAAATTATATAGTCTAAGTGGAATAGCGACTGTTATTTTAGATAGATCTTTGTCGTTTTATAATAATTTTATTACCTGCCAAACGTTCAACACTACAAATTTTTTATCATTATTTTAGATTACGTACAGAAGGAAATATATTTACAACTAAATAAAACAAATTTCTCTGTTCTACTGTTAAAACCTTGTTAGTTATCGTGTTTACAAAAATCGCCCATTTTCCATCACTGGACGTGTTTGTTGTTCGTTGCTATGTTGACTGCACGCTCATTGATTTCATGCAACTCTTCTTTTCTCAGGATAACCTGCATAGTAAAATAGTAAGGATAAAGTATAATGTTATCCAAAGTTGAAGGGAAGAATTTTCGACAGGCAGACATGCACCTTAAAGTGTGTAAACTTTACAGGTCATCACGCGCCACTGTTTACCTAAAAATGACACCTCGGGCAAAACGAATGACACAAAATTCATTACTGCTCTAATTCTTCACTTTCAGCTGCAATGCCTGGAAGAACAAGTACCTCATATTTGCGTATGGCTCAAAATTATGTTTACCCATGCATTTTTTGCGGCAAAAATCAATTAATCATCGTACGCCATGCAAAGTTATGTACTCCTAGTAGACTTTTCTATTTTTACAATTGTATCAACAACAAACGTTGCGTAACGGAAAAAATATTTTACTGGTTGTCTTAGTCAGTTTCATCGACCCTTAAGCCGGTTTTCCACTAGCGATATTTTTCGCGCGAAGCGACACTTTACTTTTGTTTTAGAGCTCTCAACTGCAACCATCTGGAACAAATTACTCAAATACAAAGGAATAAAGTCGCTTCGCGCGAAAAATATCGCTGGTGGAAAACCGGCTTTAGGATTCGCCACAAAGGGCAGCCACGTGCAAACACCTTTATAGAGTTATTTATACTTACCAATTTAAAGCGTATCATCAAAACAACTTCTATGCAGGGACCGGAAGATCTTTAATTGGGTGGCTAATATTCATGTATTCATGTTAACAGTTCGTAAAAAAATCAATTTGAAAAGAAAGCAAAAGCCTTCTACTTAAGGCTGTTCTTAATTGTCGCCTTTTTTGCACGTACATGCACGCACGCCAAAGTTCATAACCTTCTAAGTTGTTAGCTATATAATTAATTTTATTGCCGAAAAAATATACCTGCTGTATAAATCTTCCCTGCGTAATGACACACGCGTTGCTCAAAAAGCGAATTTCAGTCGTGTCGGATTTTTTTTGAAATTGGCAAAGTTACAAAATGTCGTTAATTAAACAAAGCCTTGTATAGCATGGCAAACCGCCACCCATAGAGCTCAGATAATTCCTGGGAACACGCACAAGTTCATTAAACTACAGACCTGCTGACGGGTAACATGAATGTTAGGCCATTATTAAAACTATATTGACCTGCTGGAATTATTGAAATAGGCCTACGCCGAAAAATGAACACAATAAAACTTAATAAAATGTCTAAACATAATGAAAATGAATGACAGCGGTAATATGGAAATTCGTCATCAGCTTAATCATTAATCGAGATGTTTTATTTCATTTACTCCTCCTACGAGGAGCTCGCAGCTGCATGCTTGATGAAAAAACATATGTATTTTATTCCCTAAACACAAGAGGAAATCAACCGCAATTGCGAAATGAAAAACTTTTTTACAATCCTGTTGTTCCTACAATCTTCCATGCTTTTGCAGTTGCAATTTGTGTTTCTCACTGCCTCACAATACCTGGCAATTCGTCATGGTAAGCCAAAATAAAGCTTTATACTAAGATATATAATTCATTATTATCATGCAGAATATCAGTTATAATAATAAACATGTCCAGTCGAAGATCTCACGCACTTCCATGCAGTCTTGTGAACTAAATTGAATAACTTAAAGTCCATTAAATATATTTATAGAATTGAATTTTCTTCAATGTAAATTCCTAGCATTACGAAATACGACTCATTATAAGTCGTGTAACAAAAAGAGTGATCGAACACAACATTGCAAGGCCACCTGATGCAAATTGTGTGAAGAGGGATATAGACCATGTTACCCAAAAAATAAATTACGAAGGCACCAATATTCTTTTATCGTTCAAGGATTTTTCCAGAGAATGAGCAAGAAATAGTTTATGACTCTCCATATGCTTCAATAACTGCCATGGCTGTGTTTTAGGATCACGCTTGAGGAACAATGTTATCGCTGAATTTACAGAAGAAATGGATTTGTTTTGTGAACTTCGATGCGCAGAAAATCATTTTTGTGTCGCATTTAGTTACAAGGAAAAAACGCGGGGAAATGAATTAAACTGTCAGCTTACCAACACAACTGAGCATAAATTCAACGAACGCCACGAAACAAGAGAACAACAAGTGTGGACTTTTTACGAAGTTAAAGTGGATCGGAGTCACTTTGTAAGAATTATTATCGCTATCATTGCAACGTAGCTTTGTTGTTCAATCTCACGCCAAAAGAGGAATATTGTCAGCAACCAGTACTTTTATCAATTTCCACGTGAAGTTTAGGAAGAGAATACGTTCGTTTACCCTTACAATTCACAATTTTTCTAAACTATTTACCTAAATGTTGACTCACAATAATGCTTAATACAGCGTGCATTCGTATAAAACCATGTTCAAATCTCCTGAACGTTGGCACAGATCGTAAAATTTTTATACGAGACACATTTAAGATATTAGATAAAACAAGTTGTAAACTAATTGCTTCCTTCATAAATTATTTCATTTTAAATGTTACTTATACGATGTTATTATTTTCTGAATCTGAAGGCCAAGTGCAGGGGAGAAGTTAATGAATGTCATAATGGAGGGAAAATGACTTGGGAAACAGGAAGACAGTTTTCATGTCGGTGTTTAAAATGTTATGAAGGAGAACGCTGTGAAAACGGTAATAACGACATTACGACGAAACCATAGTATTATATTCAAAGGCCACGATGATCGTTAAAATCCATATTCATTTGATGCTCAAGGAAACAGCAAAGTCTAAAACAATATAAGCTTGACATTTTAGGAAATTTTCTTTGTTCTGAGAAAAATTAGGATTTCGTATCGTATTAACTGTTTGGAGTAAAATGCTTAACCTGACATAGAGTCAATCTGGGCTTTCCGCAGAAGCGTTTTAATAAATTTAAAATGGATGATAAATTGTTTTAAATGTGAATAATACTTCATATTTGGGGTCCCTAATATACAGATGATCTGTTTTATGCAATATGACCACCTCTCCAGGGGCGCGTAACTAGAACGATAAATGGGGGGGGGGATGAATATTCATATATTCAGTTCTTCCTGACGGATGTCTATTGTAAGCTATTGCAATTATGAAAGAAAGCCGTAGGGCAGAACTGGATATATGAACTTTAACCCCCCCCCCCAATCATCGTTCAAGTTACGCCACTGAAACTCTCGCCACCTTAGAACTGTCAGGAAGTGATTCTCCCATAACTACGAACATTTATCCTGCTTTTGGCCATTTATACCGCGTATAGGTTAGGAAAATAACATAAACTACTGACAAATGCAATGATTTCTTTGATACAGTACGTACAGAGGCTCTTGGGATGGAAGATGGTAGTATCCTTGATAGTCAAATCACGGCATCCAGCAATTGGAATAATAATCATCGTGGGGCTAATGGAAGATTAAATTTCACGCCACATAGTGGAAGAACTGGAGCCTGGTCTGCATTGTCCAATGATATTAATCAGTGGCTACAAGTTAATTTTCAACGTCTTACACTCATCGCAGGAATCAGCACCCAAGGACGTTCTGATTATAATCAATTTGTCAGGAGTTACACCATTTCTTTTAGCAAAGCTGGAGGGTATTTCACGTATTATACCCAAAGGGAAGCAACCAAGGTATACTAAAAAACGTCATACAAACTATAAACTCTAATTATTCACTACTTATATCACGAGTTTTGATCTATATTATGTACCTTTGAGCAATTATGTGCCTCAGAGTTTTCGAGCAACGACAGAATTGGCAACATTGCCAAAATTAATGGAATCAAAACGGCTAACTGTTAATGAAATCGTCGTATTTTTGTGCTATTAATGTTCGCATGCGGACAGTTCGTATTTTTGTTACTTCTAGATTCCACATTATGTTATGTATAGTAAAAAGCACAAACTCGTAATCTCCAACATAACCCGATCCATTGTCCCTTTAATTCCCTATAATTCTATTCTGAATGTCTTCTAAATTTCCCAGTGACGTCATTATTAATTTTTTTACCGAGTTTTAAAAATAACAAAATCAACAGAGCTTTGCCTTTGGGAGTTCAAAACATGTGAACTCCCAGAGGCATAGCTTTGATAAGTTTTAAACTACTCTAGAAATAATTACAACGTCAGTGTGAATATAATTTCACACAACTATGCGGGCTTTATTTTACTGGGACCCCCTGTATAGTTCGTTACGGTGTAACATATCTCATTGCTGCTCTACTAGTTGCTGACACTGCTCAATGAATCTTAGCAAATATGAAACTTTAGATCCATTTCAAAACGATACTAATATCAATGACTTTTAAACGGATTACTATATTAATGTTCGGAAGGCCTAATTGTAGAAAATTATATTTGTGTTTAACGAAGAATTTTCATATCATAAGAAAATATTATTACAAAATGTTGAAGCCAAGTATGGCAACGGACCAACGACATTATTCAAAAGCCAAAAAAGTATTCAAAATCTACCATTATTTTGAAAAGCAACTGACTGACTAAGAGGAACTTTTAAGTAATGAAGTTTTGTGCGTGAACCATTTTTATCAGTTTCGATATATTTATCATGCTACCGAAATATTTATCAGTTGCGAAAAACTTTAAATACTTACTTTTTCTTCAAAAATATATTTCCGGAGTAGTCCAAGATTTTTTGGACTACAGAGTAACAGTGATTACAAACTTGAATACATAGCTATTTGTTATTTCGTCTAAAGTTTAAAATGATGTGCATGCAGCAACTTATTTTGTTTTCATAATTACAGGAGTTCCAGGGTAACAGCGACCAGAATACTATTGTCCATCGAAAGGTTATTCCTCCTATATCTGCTCGGTTCGTTCGCCTTCATCCGACCACGTGGCAAAATCATATCTCGATGAGAGTCGAATTTTATGGCTGCTTTTCGACGTAATTATGCATGATTCGTTTCTGATCGATCTAATTGTGAACTTATTGATTAAGTTGATTAGGAAATTTTAGCTCCCCATGCAAGTGCCTGAAATGTTGAAAATAGCTTGGATTTCTTGCTAATTTGAATATCTTGCCGAAAAATTTTTGAATAATTGAAGCTTAACAATTTCGTAATTTATATATTCATTTAAGCACTTTAATATCAATTTCACGCACTTTCAGAGCATGCGCACTAACTAAGGATTTGAATTGGAATAAGATAAATTTAACTCGGGCTTTGATGTGCTCAAGACCATTTATGTTGTAAAAAGCCACAGAACTATTTAAATCACTATTAACAAATAATGCAATAGTTAGAGTGTGAATGCCTAAGAACTCCGTATATTGTATACCCACAAGTGTATAAATGTTTGACATAAACATTTTTTATTTATGATGACAGTAAAATTTGTTTGTGCCCATAAGGGACAGGTCATAAAGTAATTACTAGGGAGGAGTGGATGATAAATGAAATTTTAAGTATTTATTTTAACACCCCCAAAAACCTATGGAAAAATTTTCATAACCCTCTCTAATGAAAGTGAAAATTTTCATACTCCCCTTCTTCCTTAATTTGGTTTTAACATTATATTGCATTTATCTATATTTCGAAACTCTCCAATTGGTGGTAACTCTCCCACTTCTTGTAGTGGTGAACATATCCTCAACATTTTCCTCACTCTCGGATTCGTCACCAGTGTTTTCTGTTTCTTGCTCGGACATTATTGCTTGCACTGTCATTTAAAACAATGTCTCCCCCACTTTCATCAGCAGATGAACTATTGTCCCTATAACCGTCATCACTGTTTTCTTCCATCAATACGTCGTCTTCAGAGGCGTTTAAATGGCTCACAATATGTCCTTGAATGACCCTTATTTTCTCTGCGTTCCTCAGTTTCAAAGAATGCGTCATTCTATGATAAGTACTTATTTTGTTCGGAAACGTTCAACTTTTTCCACAGACCATCGTAAAACATGGCAATCCAGTTGTAGTCTTCATACTTTTTGTTTCTCTCTTGCTGTGTTTTTTATTGTCGTTTCTCAGCCCTCTTCTTTTTGTTGATCTCGAGATACTTCAGGTGGTCAACTTATTTTTTTGACAAGCACTTCATCAACAATGACAGTTTTACTTAATTGTTTGATCTCTTGGTCAGAGCCTAATTTTCCTTCTGCCATGTAATCTTTTGCTTGTTTTCTGGGTTGAAAATCATCTATGGTTCTCTTTCTGTTGAAGTGTCAAAAACGTTTTTGAAATGATAACCGTCTGCTTTGTAATCCGGATATGGTTGAGAAATTCTGGCACAAGGAGGTCCAACCCAGGAATGAGTGGAATATTCACACTTGTCAGGCTAATTACAAGAGAATTTGACAAATTTCATGATGTGCTTCTCTCCAAGTAGGCAGTGATTTTCACCAAAACTTTTAATCTTGTCGAAATACCTAGTACTTTTTCCGTACCTAGTACTATAAAATTTTGGTACCCTCCTTGATATCCCGCTGTTTTTTTTCGTATCCCTCTCAGAAGTGCTGTTATTTTTATGTACCCTCCCCCAGATTATCCCCACACCCCCTAATAAGTACTTTATGACCGGTCTCTAAATGATTTTTATTACCAATGTTCACAATTTACAAATATGAATAACAATAAATTATTTAGGTTTACAACTCAAGCACCATGACCTTCGACCTGTCATCGTCTCAAATTTTAAACTTTCGTATGTAGCATTTTACAACTTGTGTTGAATTGATACGGGTTAAAATTCGCCAATAGGCAGTATAGACTATTTAGGCCGTAGGATGAGCATCCAAAAGATGCTTAGAAAACGGATTCCGTTGCACCCCTCGTGAAACTACATAATTTTCACATGAATCAATAGATAAAAACTTACTTTATCAGAATCCGTCGCTCCCCAAGCGAAACAGGTGCACAATTGGGAAAACAATCCCTCTAAAGTTTGCTATATTCGCGCTTCGAAATATTCAAATCGCCATTGTTTTAATAGCAAATGCGCATGCGCTTGTCAGCCAAACTCGCACTGCGCACGCGCATAAGCACGCACATGCTTCGAGTTATGCAAAATAATCATAGCTGAAGATATTTATAACACTCGAATATCCTCATGTTTTATTCATTTTCATGGCGTTACGGAGCAACTTTGCAAAGTTACACGCCAAAGGCTTAAGAAATTTCTTGAGTGTAGGTCCAAATAGGCCAAACTTAAATGTCAACAAGCTGAAATAGCTAAGAAATCTTACGAAAACATCGATGACGGATCTGTCAATTCATACATGGAGAAGAACCCTGACAGCATTAACTTAGAATGGTACCATCATATGAAATGCTGGAAGAGATTTTGTGATGAAGAGAAGATCCGTAGACAACAGCGAAAGGAAGAAAAAGGAGAAGGTACTAGCTCTGAAACTGTAACTCCTACCGAAGGACTATATGTGAAAGTGGAACCAATGGAACCAAGGCGAAAAATTACACGACAATCAGTCGCAGACGTTAATAAGACCCTGCCTAAAAGAAACGAGCATGTACTTCCAGAGATATGTATTGTTTGTGGAAGAGATTCCTCTTGGTTCTCACTAGACAAGGTATGGTCATTTTGATAGTTATAATTATACTAGTGCAATGTGCACTAGTAGCTGGTGCAATGTGCACTAGTAGCACAGCATTCTCGAGTTTGGTTTTAAAATATCTTGAATTGTGGTCAATTAAGTTTATTTAGTCTTAGGGTAAAGTAGTTTCAGTAGTGTGCAGATATTAAGTTTAATAGTTTTGTTCACACCAGGTGACTAAGAAGAGAAGAAGAACCCCACTCATGTTGGCAGAAACAATTGATGCTGGTCTTCTACGTACAGCTGCCGAGAGAAAGAATGATGAACGGATACTCGTGCAAATCCGGGGGAAAGACTGTGTAGCACTGGAAGTTCGCTAGTAGCGCTACTGGAATTATACAAATTTTCTCACCAGAGAGACAAAGAAACAATTGGAGACTGAAAGATTTACAGTGTACGAGAAGTCTTATGATGTCTTCTGTAAGAAAGTAATCAAGTCAGAAAACAACGATGAAGACTTTGATGAAGAGAGCTATACCGGTACCATTGATGATGATGATCTGAATTCCAACACAGAAACTGAGGGAAATTCTAAAGTCAATGAGTTACAAATTCTATACAATGCTGCATTGATTCTTCGCCAAAAGGTCCAAGATATACCAAAACTGAATCTTCCTTGGCCACCATTGGCTTCTGATTTGACAATAGATAATGTGCAAAAAGTGGTTCCATGTGAACTTTTTAATGTATTGGCTTGGACTTGTGGATTCTCTTCAGAGCCAACTTTAAGTGAGTATGTGCCAATTGAGGGCAAGAACAGTTCCAAACTAACATCAATTGTACAAGACCTTGTGAATTTAGCATCTGGGGGAAGGAATGTTACACCCAAGAGCATAGCACTTGCCATGACACTTAGACAACTGACAGGTTCAGCCTCAGTAATTTCTCTATTGAGTGGCTTTGGACATTGCATGTCACACTCATTTGTATTGTGCCATGAAACTGCCCTTGCACAGATGAATACATCCAATGATTCTGCTATTCCTCCAGGCTTTGTTAGTGATGTTCCAACTACTCTTGCAGGGATAATGCGTTTGGCCAAGGCTATATTTAAGCGAAATATTTAACCTGTTTCTTGATTGTGTGAGTTGTATGTATATTTATATATTCTCCGTCCTGTTTTGATACAGGTGGGTTTTTTTACCTCACAAATTTTTATTGAATTAAGATGTTAATAAGTAGAATTATACGTTAAAACGGTATTTTGAAACAATAGCCAATAAATTGAAGTGATTTAGCATATGAGCAAGCAAAATGTACAATGTGTTTTAACAATATTATTGTGTGTATTTATTCGTTAATATTACAAGGTTTGATCTTTATTCCGTGATTTTATTTTGTTATTTTTAAACGGGAAATCGGGGAAAACCCACAGGGAAAATCCATTTTTCCTGTCTGCGCGTGCGCAGTGCGAGTTTGGCTGACAAGCGCATGCGTATTTGCTACTAAAACAATGGCGGTTCGAATATTTCGAAGCGCGAATATAGCAAACTTTGGAGGATTTTTCCCATTTGTGCACCTGTTTCACTTGGGGAGCGACGGATTCTGATAAAGTAAGTTTTTATCTATTGATTCATGTGAAAATTATGTAGTTTCACGAGGGGTGCAACGGAATTGCATTTTTTGGATGCTCATCCTACGGCCTAATTCCAATTTTAACAATAAGTGATTTCCATAGTTTTGGAGTTTTTTGGGACACCTGTGATACTGTTGTTACTTCATTACGCTCGGGAAAACGGGAACGGTCGAAATTCCAACTGTACGAATTTGTGTGACTATTCAAGAAACAAGACATGAAACGTATTTCCAAATCCCAGGGGTCAGTTGTATAAAAAAACAGTTAACTTCACTGTAGTCAAGGACAGAATAGGCCTTGTGTATTTCTGAGTTAAATAGGATTTAGCTATGCAAATTATAGTGTTTGTACATGTTCTGATACACCATGCATGCATAGGCTCACGTACGTAAAATGTTATTCATATGAACAAGTGTTCGAATGGAGAAACGTGTTGTCGGGGCATTGGCGGAAAAGTATTTTACAAACGAATAGGAATTACTGTTTGAATGTCTACGCAGTACTGTGCTCAGCAAAGTATTCGAATGTTTGATGCTTGACCAGGGCAATAATAATAAATTAAGTTAAAGTAAACAATATTATGGTGAAATGAAGATTACAAGTGTGCAGTTTTTCGGGGGAAAAAGGACCTTATTGCCCCCCTCCACCCTCTGTTTACTGTCTCGTGCTAACAAGACAAGTGCCAACAAGACCGTTTCTCTGAGTCTTACGGCTTTGATCAGGATTATCAGTTGTTGAATTCCTAAAGGCAGACTTGCTAATGATAAGTTCTTACAGCATCGAGCTTATGCCATGCCATGCAGGTGTTGATCGAGCAGGTAAGTTTTATGTAAAAAGATTCTTTGAAATAAGTCTTTTTGAAACAGAACAATCACATGCTATAGTTAGTATGATTACACGCCTACTGAGAATCGTGCTTGTTATTTACTCAGTCAATACCGGGCTCATGTGAACAGCCCCTAAATTTAATGGTCTATAATTATTATCTACCTATAATTGTATAATAGTTAGAACTCTGTTAACGTTAAGTATTCTTTTCAGTCTATATTTTACTCCACAGTAAGCCAATACTAATAGCAAGAATCTCGTTACCTGAATGCTTATTTAATTAGAGTTCAAAAACATCAGTCACAAATATCATTTAATTGCTGATAAATTTAGGTGTTCATTTACGAAATCTATCACATGGTCGCGAGCAGACGATCGTGCCTTGCTGAGAATAATATCCTCAATGGACACAGCTGTCGTACCCTTTGGGCTTTGACGCAAAAACGTGCAGGTCTGGTTTTGTGTAGTTTAAAATCTGCATTAGTTTTGACTCCATATACATGCAGCACCTGCAATAGTTATTTGCCGAGGTAGCAATAGTATCATTCGAAATCCGAGGATGCTATGTCATATTCCTAACTGAAAATTTTGTTTTGGTCCCTCTTATTTGTTTTGCTACATTTATGTATGCCGGCGCACGGTTAAAAACACGTTGGTCTTCCAATTGCTACAGGCCAAGGTTAAACGTCGCATCTTGGTCGCGTCGAATGCAATTGAAGCAATTGATCATTATATGTTAATGAGGTTTATTATCTCATCATCTTTTGTTTGAATTACATTCGATGAGAAAAAAGCGACCTATTTGAAACCAAATAGGGGGCTGTCAGCCAAATGTGCTGCCTCTGTTGGTGCGTCGAAAGACTATGGCAATGTTTTCTTGCAACTTGGAATGCGTTTCTACTTTTGAGAGATGTAAATTAGTGAGGAAGCTTCAAAATGTAAGTGTAAGAAAGGCCATGAATTGCATGAATTTGGATAGTTTAGCCAAATTTACATCTCTCAAAAGAAGAATTGCATTGCAAGTCGCAAGAAAAATGGCACAAATTATGGCCTTAAGAGGAGATAATGTAACGTCAACCCTGATTGTGCATCCCATGCAAGTTCGAATCCTTTTGTTGACTTTATTACTGGAATTAATGCCCATAATAACTGGAAAATAGTAGGGTGGTTTTCCACTGTCTCCTAACTGGAAAAGTAACCAAATTGGCTGAATGATGAGGAACAAAATTCCTGCTTGATATTTACTTTAGTTAAGAATATTCTTTCCAAGAAAAATGCTCTATAAAAATTTACACTTAAACTATCAAACAGCTGTAACGTTGCAGCTGCGCTTCATGTCGTCGAGAAACCGCAAAACTACATCATTTGAACGCGTCGTAAGAATGACAACGCTGACATTAGACCACAATTTACGCGTGCCTACTGTTCCGCGTTTGGACTTTTTTTGTTTCGCAAGCGCGTCTTCGAGCTGGCCGCGTCTTGAATCGTAAACTCTTTATTAATAATAACCTCGGGTTTCTGTAATTAGGCTATATATAATTATTAAAAATGCCAAGAAAAAGCTCAGTAAAGCTTAAAAAAAAGCTAAACACAATAGACTGAGTGACAGCGGAAAATTGAAGATTCATCATCTGTTTAGTCTTCAGGAAATTCAGGAAATCTGGAGATTGTATTTCATTTACTCCTTCTCTCGCTGTTGCATGTTTGAAGGAACATCAACATATGTGTATATTTATTCTGTAAACACAGGAGGAATTAAACCGCATTTGAAAAATGAAGAAACGTTTTATTATTCGGATGTTTTTACAATCTTCCATGTTTTTGCAGCTGCAATTTGTATTTCTCATTGCTTCACAATATCTGGCAATTCGTATTGGTAAGCCAAAATAGAACTAAAATGTCATTCTTTTTTATTATGACTATGTATATAATTATTAGAGTATATGATGTGAAGGTTTTCTAAACTAAATCGAGTAACTGGATGTCGATTAAGTTTGACAATTGCAATTTTGTTGAAATTTTAAATAATAATATCAGTTAATATCGACCATTTTGAGAGTTTAAAGTAAATTTTAAGGGCGCAATTTGACTCATGAGATCACGCATTACAGCTGGTATTGAGCGTTGCGACACAAAGCGTAGTATTGCAAAGAATAATTCCTGCAAGTTGAATTGGGCTGTGGAGGGTTACTTTCGAAAATTACGAAAAAACCTTTATTTGTACAAAATTGGAAGACCGATTTTAACTCAACTCGGAAACAAATAACTTATGAGTTACAGCTCATTTTGTCAATTTTAAAATTACTTTAATTACTTTACTGCGCGTAAAATACAAAAACCCTTTACTGGGGTAAATACGTTTTAGGATCACGCTTGAGGAACAATGTTATCGCTGAATTTACAGAGGAAAGGGATTTGTTTTGTGAACTTCGATGCGCAGAAAATCGTTTTTGTGTCGCATTTAGTTACAAGGAAAAAACTCGGGGAGATGAATTAAACTGTCAGCTTACCAACACAACTGAGCATAAATTCAGCGAACGCCACGAAACAAGGGAAGAACAAGTCTGGACTTTTCACGAAGCTAAAGTGGATCGGAGTCAGTTTGTAAGTATTATTAGAGAGCTTTAGATTTGACCACGACTCCCGCTACCGCTACGAGATTCGTCACATTGACGTGATATTCGTGATACTTCGTACTGACGCCATAGACTCGTAGCCGTCGCCCATCTGACTACGACATTTTAAAAAAAACTTCGTAATCCTCACTACGTGATTTAGAAAGCAAGTTGACATTTTCTTGTTTTTTTTCAGAAAATAATTTGAGAGAACTGTTTTTCGTTACCGTGGCCTTTGATTATGTGTATTTTTCGAAATAGTAGGCGTAAAATTTCCGAAATACTTGATAGGATAAACACGCATTTATTATTGTGTTTGCAGAGTTTTATCATGCCAGTACGAGGTGGCGTATGCATACAACGTTTATTTCGCGCCACAGTGACGAATTTTGTAGCCGTAGCGGGAGCTGTAGTCAAATCTAAAGCTCTTTAATATCGCTATCATTCCAACGTAGCTTTGTTGTTCAATCCCACGCCAAAAGAGGAATAATTATTGTCAGTACTTTTTATCAATTCCTACGTGAAGTTTAGGAAGAGAATACCTTCGTTTATCCCTACAACTCACAATTGTTCTAAAATATGTACTTAAATATTGACTCACAATAATGCCTAATACAGCGTGCATTCGCCTGTATCAAGTTATGTTCCAATCTCCTCAACGTTGGCACAAATCGTAAGATTTTTACGAGACAAATTTGAGATATTGTATAAAACAAGTTATAAACTAATTGCTTCCTCCATACTCGATTTTAAAGGTTATTTATACAATGTTATTATTTTTTATTCCGAAGGCCAACTGCAGGGAAGAAATTAATGAATGTCATAATGGCGGGAAAATGACTTGGCCAATAGGAAAACAGTTTTCTTGCCGGTGTTCAAAGTGTTTTGAAGGAGAACGCTGTGAAAACGGTAATAATGACATTACGACGAAATGATGATAAATATTATTCAGTATAACTACAAAAATTACTATTAAAAATGCTTGCGTCTAATTGGTCGACGGACGTCGGATTACTGCACGATAATAACCTAAGCGGATTTGGCAAAATGGCGTCGAGTTGTTTTTGCGAAAGTAACGTATAATGAAATACTTTTTTTCACAAAAATAGTGTTCCTGAAAGCACAAATAAAGTGAAAAACGCTTTTCAATTTTAATTTCGGAAAACGTTGTTTTATTTGAATCGCCGTAAAACTCAGTGTCCAGATATTTGTTTACTTTTGTAAAACGTGTACTTTCTACCGAAGATTCGCTTTGCCTATTACCGCCTTAGTAATTATACTAAAACAATTAATTACTCACATTCGGTGAATAATTTTTTAAATATTCAAAAGCCACGATGATCGTCGTTAAAATTCATATTCATTTGATGCTTATGGGAACAACAAAGTCTAAAATTATAAAAGCATGCAATTTCAGGAGATTTTGTTCTCAGAAAAAAAATTTCCGTATCTGCTTGCGTATCATATTAACTGTTTCGAATAAATTATTCACCTGACAAAGAGTCAACCTGGCCTTTCCGCAGAAGCGTTATAATAAATTTGAAATGGAAAAGAATGTGAATGATATATAAGTCATATTTATACGTTCCTTATTATACAGATGATCTCATTTATGCACTATCACTCCCACTCACCCCTCGCCACCCCTTAGAACTGACATGAAGTGATGCCCCCATGGCTGCGAACATTTATTCTGTCTTTGGCGATTTATACCGCATATAGGTTAGCAGAATAACAGAACTACTGAAAAATACAATGATTCGTTTTATACAGTACGTACAGAGGCTCTTGGGATGGAAGATCGTAGTATCCTTGATAGTCAAATCACGGCATCAAGCATTTGGAATAGTGGTTATCGTGTGGCTAATGGAAGATTAAATTTCAAACAGCCTAGTGGCAAATTTGAATCCTGGTCGGCATTGTCCAATGATCTCAATGAGTGGCTTCAAGATAATTTTCAACGAGTTACACTCATCACAAAAATCGGTACGCAAGGACGCAATGACGCGAATCAATTTGTTAAGAGTTACACCATCTCTTTCAGCCGAGAAGGGAAGTGTTTCTCGAATTATACCCAAGGGGATGCTATCAAGCCAGGTATGCTTGGTAAAACACGATAGCGGTTAGTGTATAGTAATTTATCCAGCAAAATGGGTTGAGATAGCTGAAGGCTTGCACATGTACATTTCACGACTTTATTATCTACTTTAAACAATTACCTAAGGCGAGATTGCGTTTTTTCCGCTTTACTTTATGCAACGTGGTAACTACACACATCGAACACAATAGATTCAAAATATCTCTGATCAGTGATGGATTTTGTGTAAATCAGAATAAACTTAATCACTACAGCTGTTATTTGCTAGACTATTGGTAGATTTTAATTTACTCAAAAATATTCTTTAAAATGAATAACCAACAGCCTTGTCATTAAGCTATTTCGAAATTGAAATTAGTCCGTGTAATTTATTCTGGTTTACTCCTCATCCACCGCTGTATCTGACACACTATTATTTTGAAAACAATGGACTACACAAGACATAACTTTAAGCAATGAAATTTGGTACGCTGGTTTACGCGTACCAAAGTACAATTTGCAGTGGAAAATAGAGAAAGATTTTTTCTTGAAGAATATCTCCAATGAAGTTCAAGATGGTAAGAGAAACTACAAATTTTCAAAGCTTTTTGCTCTTTTTCATAATTACAGGAATTCCAAGGTAACAACGATCACAATACGACTGTCCATCAAACTGTGATTCCTCATATTTCTGCTCGGTTCATTCGTCTTCATCCGACAGCTTGGGAAAATCATATTTCCATGAGAGTCGAGTTTTATGGCTGCTCGGTGTAATGATTCATTCCTAATCAACTTAAATATGGGTTTATAGATTAAGTAAGTTCCTCTTGGATATTTTTTTGGTCCAAAAATTTGATCTAAACCTCAGGAGAATTTGAAGTGTAGATGTTTCCCAGAGATTCAAACCACCAATATTCGCCATAGTTTGATTAATATTTCTCCAATTATTTAAAAATATAATTACTATGTGTAAAAGATTTTCAGAATTTTTAATATAGCCGGTCTATTTGCGGGGGAGTGTCAGTCTATTACAGGAAGGTATGATGGACCACTTCACCGGAAGTGTGTGTTGCCATAAAGTATAAGAATAAATAATTATATAATAAGTTGAAAAAAATAATTTATAAGAAACGTATTGCAATGTTTCTTCCCAACAATATTTCTTTTGAATGTATCAATAAAGTTGTGATGAATTTCATGTCAGAGTCACTCTCTGTTATTGAGATTTAGAATAATGAAAATGAAATCCTTGTGTAATCAAACATAGAATAAAAATAAAATGTGTGTAAAACCCCACGTTTTCAATTTTTGTAGAGCTCTGCGGCATTCAGGCAAGAATAGGAGTTTTATGGTCATAAAAATAAGAAAACTATCATTAAATACCTTATTATAGGAGCTAGCAGGCCTACCATTGAACAACATGCTCATAAAGAGTCAAATTGCCATATAGATAAGAATTATGCAGAGAGGTTTGAAGCAAATGACTCAAGGTCACTCAAAAAATACATTCCGGTTGATTAAATTGTCTCATGTCTGTAGATCTACTTTACTGATCTACTACATTTATTTACTGGTTTCTTCTCAAATTGATTGCTTTACGGTCTGATGATACGAATATAATAATAATAATAGGAAATAACAACACCCTTAAATATATTTTCAAGCTTCCAGAAATTCCAGGTAACAATTAACGACCGCATTTCTATTGTGAATCCCATGGTTATTCTAATATTTCTCTTCGGTTCATTCGCATCCACTCAACGTCTTGGTATTGTCATAAATTATCTCAATCTGAGTAGAATTTTTTATAGCTGCTATTCAATGTAGTAACACAATGTCAACAAGTCTGAAATTTGTAGATTTGGTGCAGTACCCCAAAAGAAAGTAAATTACGCTCGACAACACGCAAATAACTAGAATAATTGAATTCGAAATAATATCTTCACCCAGTTGCCTGCCAGCTTTACGGTTTAGTTCCGTTGAGTTTGATGTTTTTAAAGATCTTTATTGCTTTAGAAAATTGCTGTTTTTACAAGAAATTGAATATTAATTTGTGAACCCAAACATTTTAGCAGAGCGATGCACAGACTTTGGCGGCTAGTGTAAACTAAGTCTAAAGCTTTGTGCAAAATACCGATATAATATACTAGAAATACATGAATGCAGCGACCCCTCGCCATTTCAAACGACGCAATTTTTTTCCTGAGCTAGCCAGACCTCAATATAATAGCTGATGCTTCGCATTTTTTGGAGTTCAAAAATGAGTCAAACAATTACAGCCGTAAAGGTAAAATGAAATCACTGTTACCTGCTGCAGGCGTTGCATGCAGTTATAGTCATATAGACTTAATTGATACTTTACTATAGCTAAATCTTCAAAACAGCAAAAATAATTCAAATCCATAAACACTAAACGTCGGATACTATTTTTCGATTATTGAAATCATGCAATGATTGCAATCGATTGCAACATTCCACGGTCCACGACATAGAATTTGGACAACTTTTGATTCCGCTATGTTCTGTCACAAATCTCGGGTGTAATTCCTAATCTCCGGGCGGAATTAGTACCCTTTCAGATAAAATTACAGTTAGCACACGATTTTCAAATTTATCGTAGAAACACAAATCTGCTTGTTTTCGTTCGCCTTCTACTAAACTCAGAATTTTCAGGAGAAAATTAATTCTTAAACTTGTTTCCGGAAAACGTGCACGCGTATACGTACTTATGTATCAATTACCTGTTCGGCACATACAGACATGTTAATTAAAATTAACGTTCTAACGGATCCTAAGGCTCACATCAGTACGATAGCACACCAGCTCTTACACTATATTTTTGCCCGCTGCCGATCGGTAGGGATGGAGACGGTATCCGAGCGAAACGGTCGGGCTAGGGGTGAAACGGTGTTTCTTTTGAGTTTGCTGTTTTCGGCGCAGATAATAACTCAACGAACCATGCTATTTTAACGGTACCTCCTCCATCCCGTGATCAACTGTCACACGTGAGTCACTGAAGTGAAACCGTGGAATAAACGATACGAACATCAAAGTACACACACACAAAACAAAAAAAAATACCTGTAAATGTGGCGATCATTAATGAATTTACCTTTACCCCAAACACCCATTCCACGACCAAAACGGGTGTGAAAAGAACTGTGCTTAATCCTGCAAAACAAACTAACAAAAAAAAAAACAAACCCCAGCGAGATTAATAAGACGCTTCTCCCGTAGAGTTCACAACATCGCGTGAAGTCGTTAGGGAAAGGGGCGGGATGGGTCACGCAAGCAACTAACAACTCGATCAGGCAAACTGTAGCCGACCGGACAAGCGTCCTAGGACCCGCGACACTACGATACGAAGACCCGTATAACATTAACTTCCTTTATTATTTAATAATAAATACATTTTACGATAAAATAATAACAAAAATATCAAACACGCGTGGACCCGTGCACGAACCATTATAGATCTTTATCGCTTTAGAAGGTTGCTGTTTTTACAAGAAAATGAACGTTAATTTGTGAAAAGAAAAATTTTAGGACAAAATTAATTCTTCAACTTGCTTCTATCATTGATTCACTTGTCCAACACAGAGATGTATATTAAATTTTACGATAAATAACAAGAATTAATGTCAAGCTTTGTGCAAAATACCGATAATATATAAAATTAAAGTTTGCACACGATTTTCAAATTTTTCGTGGAAACCCAACTCTGCTTGTTTTCGTTTACCTTGTACTAGATTCAGAATTTTCGGGACAAAATTAACTCTTCATTTTGTTTCCGGAAAACGGATTGTACGTACGAAACAATCACGTGTATGCATGAATTACCTGTCCGGCACATGCAGACATGTTAATTAAAATTTACGATAAATAACAAAAAATAATGTCACTGAAACCCACTGTGCATGAGATTGAGTTTGTCTAGAGACAAACAGACAAAGCATAGGAAAGATGGGAATTACAAAAGTTTATTTGTCAAGATCAAATATGACGACAGTGTTTGATGTTAACTCTCATTAAACTCCCATATAACTCCACAGGATTTAGCGGTTTGAAATAAGTAAAGACTTGTACACTCGTCGGCTGTAATTTCTTTGTTTTACAAATCAAAAGTATTGAAATGAACAAATTATATATAAAATTATACAACAACTGTCATGCACAAGCATTTTAATTTGTCAAGGACACGCAATGAGCCCCCACAACTGATACTATTGTTGTTAATGCGTTCGAAACGTACGCGTTTGAACCAGGGCTAAAAGTCGCAAAAATGCGATGAGAACCATTTTCTCACTCATTTTAAAATATATGACAGTGACAGTGATAAATCGAAATTTATCATATATTATTATAAACAACACGTTATTTATTGCAGTTTTTTAATTTCACCCGCAGTTGCATGTTACATAAAAGAACAATTTATGTACCTATATTTTTTATTAAACAGCAGAAACGAAATCCATCGGATGGAAACATGAAGGCTGATCTCTTTCAAAATGCGGATATTTGCAAGGGTTATTTTCATTGCAACTCGCATTTTTTCACTGTTTCTCAAAAATCGCAAATTTGCCATGGTAACTCGAGAAATTTTTCAAATTATTTTAAGTATGACTAAGAGATAAGAATGTTTATGTTATAATAAATACGTAATTTTGTGTTTTGTAATTTTAGAGAAAACAAGCCATATAGCTACCCATATATTGAACAGCGAGATTAGAGAGATTAAAGTCAAATAATAATATTATGACGAATAGGCATGATGAAATAAAAATATATTGAAGGTTTTTAGACTTTGAGAGGTTCAAAAATCTCTGAATCGATCCATTTTAAAACTACGAATTCTATACCAGTAGTCGTTTAGGAAATCGCACATGAGGACGCAGTATTATTCGAAGCAAAAATTATACAAAATGAAAGTATATTTATCATATGAACATGCATGAGTGTTATAATTTTACGCCACGCAGAAAAATCGTATTTAAACACACGTAAGGATACGAATTTTTTAAATATAATTTTCGAAAGCAAATCAAAAATCGTGTAGCAAATATGTTTGACCAAGTTTGAAATCTTTAGTGAATTTTATAACCTGAATTAAAGCCTATAATGATTGGAAAATTAATACGGTCCCTTTCCATAATGGTGGTCACTTGAGTGGAAAAGTGCACAAATTTGCTGAATGATACAAATTTCTGCTCGATATTTATACTTCAGTTGAGAATTTTTTCCAAGTAAAATGTCCATAAAAAGTTACACATAAACTATCCAACAGCAATCACGTTGCAGCTGCTTTCGTGTCATCGTGAGGGCGTGATCGAAAATGTCTCATTTTGAAGGCGTCGTAAGAATGACAAAGCTGCATGTCATGGACCACAAATTATGGACACCTATTGTCTCGCGTGGAGTTTCTAATTTGTTTTGCAAGTGCGTCGTCGAACTGGCCACTTCGTGAATCGGAAACCCGCTAATAATAATGACTACGGGTTGTGATAGCTTAGCTTAATATAGCTTAACAAAAAGCTTAAACACAAAAGACTGCATGAGTGACAGCGGTAAGTTGAAAATTCATCATCAGTTTAACTATTTAATCGGGCCATTGGGAGATTGAATTTCATTTACTCTTTCTCTCGCTGCTGCATGTTTGAGGAAACAATATATTCTGTAAAGGGCAAAAAAGGAATTCATCAGCAATTGAGAAATGAGGAAACTTTATATAATTCGGATGTTTTTACAATCTTCCATGTTTTGGCAGCTGCAATTTG